ATATATATATATATATATATATATATATATAAAGAAGCGAGAAGCACATTTTAAGCATCACTCTCTTTGCTTACCCAGAGTTTTCAGAAGCTCTTCAAAGTTTTCCGAGCTTTTCATTTCCCAGGTACCAGAGAAATCGGGGAATTTGCGCTCCATCTTCGGCTGCAGGTGGTTATGAATTAATTAAAGTAAGTTGACAGGTCCAAGTTCTTCCGCGCGTAAAATATAAGTTCCAGTTATTCCGCCTGACCTGAAGCCTGCAGGATGCTTTGATTGAGCTCAGTCTGAGCGACTGCGTCTGACAGCTCTTCTTATCTCTAACTGTGTGATGCTAGGTCAAAGCTGCTGCGCTTAAAATGAATGGCAAGCGAAGACACTTGAGTGGGGATGCGCACGCCCCCTCGGTTTTTTTTTTTTTTTTATGTGGGCACGCCCCGGAGTCCTACTGAGGGATGAGGGGGAGAGAGGGGGGTTTCGATTTGACCCCGCCTTTGCAGGCAACATGTGCATTTCACGGTTAAGGCACGGAGCCAATCCAGATCAGCATTTGGAGACGCTTAGCATCAACCTCAATGGCAGCCCCAGCAGCCAGGCGCGCAGCAGAGGTCTCGTTTTTTGCAACTTGTCATGCAGATTGCATTGATTGCTTCGTTGCCGTTTCAAAAGAGGGAGAATGTAGCCAAGCCAGTCTGTTGACAGAACATGTCGTCTTGGCAGGGCGGTGCGAAGGAAGAACCAGTCAACTGGCAGACTGAGTGGATGGCAGCGGCAGTGTGTGTCTGTGTGTGTCTCTGTATGCGTGTGTGCGTGTTTGTGAACAGAGAAGAAAGTCAAGTTCACCCCCTCCCCAGTCTCCTGTGCGCCACTGCTCCGCCTGACCATAAAATAAAAGTGCTGGTAATGGGATACAGCTCCTGGCTGCGACCTTTTGGGATATATCCATTTAGCTGCGACTGCGTTAGAGGAAAATAAAACCCTCCTGTGGGAAGCGCACAGGAGCAGAGGATGTGCCGGGATTAGTACGAAGAGGTGGGGTTGACGCACGTTGAAGCTTTTTGCCCCCCGCTGCTCGGGCGGAAGAAAGGGGCAAGAGGAGGAGATCTGGTAGACGGGGTAGGGTCAGGAGGTGGG